ATATTGCGCATGCGCTAACACACTAACGTAGCCAGATTATGTCCTGGCTTGTATATGCAGCAGGTACCTTACATGCAAGGTATTCGTCCTATTTCTTAACCGAGATTTACTGATGAATTTTTATTATATAAATCTTTGCTAGAACACCTCCTCTCTATTTTGAATGCATAATTTTCGCAAAATATTAATATCTCTGGAGATATTGCGCATGCGCAAGCACCGTTTCAGGCGTGCAGTACGGACTGAATACAACTGCATAATATAGCTTGCTGAAAGAGGGAGTGAATGTTGGGAGACTGAGGAAAGGCAGCAGGAAAGATAGCTGGGGCGGGAAAAAAAGAAGGAGGCTGAGCGAGGGACAGGGGAGGCAAGGGGACGGGCGGGAGTGGATGAAGTAGGGATTTTTCACCCTACAGGTTAGGGCGCTCTCCCAATTATGATCACAGGTCTACTGATAACAATTAATTACAGAAATCGATGCTGAGATACCCCATAACCAGTTTAAATTCATAATCATCACAAAATATAACTCTTCCAGTGAGATATTGCGCATGCGCTAACACACTAACGTAGCCAGATTATGCCCTGGCTTGTATATGCAGCAGGTACCTTACATGCAAGGTCTTCGTCCTATTTCTTAACCGAAATCTACTGATAAATTTTTATTATATAAATCTTTGCTAGAATACTTCCTCTCTATTTTAATGCATAATTTTTGCAAAATATTAATATTCTCTGGAGATATTGCGCATGCGCAAGCACTATTTCAGGCGTGCAATACGGACTGAAGACAACTGTGTAATATAGCTTGCTGAGAGAGGGAGTGAGTGTTGGCAGACTGGGGAAAGGCAGCAGGGAAGATAGCTGGGGCGGGAGAAAAAGAAGGAGGCTGAGCGAAAGACAATGGAGGCAAGGGGACGGGCGAGAGCGGACGAAGTAGGGATTTTTGCACCCTGCAGGCCAGGGCGCTCTCCCAATTATGAACACAGGTCTACTGATAACAATTAATTACAGAAATCGATGCTGAGATACCCCATAACCAATTTAAATTCATAATCATCACAAAATATAACTTTTCTACTGTGATATTGCGCATGCGCTAACACACTAACGTAGCCAGATTATGCCATGGCTTGTATATGCAGCTGGTACCTTACATGCACGGTCTTCGTCCTATTTCTTAACCGGGATCTACTGATGAATTTTTATTATATAAATCTTTGCTAGAGTACCTCCTCTCTATTTTGAATGCATACTTTTTGCAAAATATTAAAATTCTCTGGAGATATTGCGCATGCGCAAGCACCGTTTCAAGCGTGCAGTACGAACTGAATACAACTGCATAATATAGCTTGCTGAGAGAGGGAGTGAATGTTGGGAGACTGAGGAAAGGCAGCAGGAAAGACAGCTGGGGCGGAAAAAAAGAAGGAGGCTGAGCGAGGGACAGGGGAGTCAAGGGGACGGGCGGGAGTAGATGAAGTAGGGATTTTGCACCCTACAGGCTAGGACGCTCTCCAGATTATGAACACAGGTCTACTGATAACAATTAATTACAGAAATCGATGCTGAGATACCCCATAACCAATTTAAATTCATAATCATCGCAAAATATAACTCTTCTAGCGAGATATTGCGCATGCGCTAACACACTCACGTAGCCAGATTATGCCCTGGCTTGTATATGCAGCAGGTACCTTACATGCAAGGTCTTCGTCCTATTTCTTAGCTGAGGTCTACTGATGGAATTTTATCATATAAATCTATGCTAGAATACATCCTCTCTATTTTAAATGTAAACATTTTGCAAAATATTAAAATTCTCTGGAGATATTGCGCATGCGCAAGCACCGTTTCAGGCGTGCAATACGGACTGAAGACAACTGTGTAATATAGCTTGCTGAGAGAGGGAGTGAGTGTTGGCAGACTGAGGAAAGTCAGCAGGAAAGATAGCTGGGGCGGGAGAAAAAGAAGGAGACTGAGCAAAAGACAATGGAGGCAAGGGGACGGGCGGGAGCGGACGAAGTATGAATTTTGCACCCTGCAGGCTAAGGCGCTCTCCCAATTATGAACACAGCTCTACTGATAACAATTAATTACAGAAATCAATGCTGAGATACCCCATAACCATATTAAATTCATAATCATCACAAAATATAACTCTTCTAGTGAGATATTGCGCATGCACTAGCACACAAACGTAGCCAGATTATGCACTGGCTTGTATATGCAGCGGGTGCCTCACATGCAAGGTCTTCGTCCTATTTATTAACTAAGGACTACTGATGAAATGTTATCTTATAAATCTATGCTAGAATACCTCCTCTCTATTTTGAATGCATAATTTTTGCAAAATATTAATATTCTCGGGAGATATTGCGCATGCGCGAGCACCGTTTCAGGCGTGCAGTACGGGCTGAAGGCAACTGCATAATATAGTCTGCTGAGAGAGGGAGTGAATGTTGGGAGACTGGGGAAAGGCATCCGGGAAGATAGCTGGGGCGGGAGAAAAAGAAGGAGGCCGAGTGAAAGACAATGGAGGCAAGGGGACGGGCGGGAGCGGACGAAGTAGGGATTTTGCACCCTGCAGGCTAGGGCGCTCTCCCAATTATGAACACAGGTCTACTGATAACAATTAATTACAGAAATCGATGCTGCATGAGATACCCAATAACCAATTTAAATTCATAATCATCACAAATTATAACTCTTGTGGGGAGATATTGCGCATGCGCTAACACTCTAACGTAGCCAGATTATGCACTGGCTTGTATATGCAACTGGTACCTTACATGCAAAATCTTCGTCCTATTTCTTAACTGAGGTTTACTGACGAAATTTTATCATATAAATCTATGCTAGAATACCTCCCCTCTATTTTAAATGCACAAATTTCGCAAAATATTAATATTCTCGGAAGATATTGCGCGTGCGCGAGCACCGTTTCAGGCTTACAGTACGGACTGAAGGCAACTGCATAATATAGCTTGCTGAGAGAGGGAGTGAGTGTTGGGAGACTGGGGAATGGCAGCAGCGAAGATAGCTGGGGCGGGAGAAAAAGAAGGAGGCTGAGCGAAAGACAATGTCATGGCGAGAGAAAGTATTATTACGTACTAATGATCGTTTGAAATGGAATCAAGAAGGGTACCGATATATTGCGCTAGCGTGTGTGCGTGAACGCGCATGTGTGTGTGTGTGTGTGTGTGTGTGTGTGTGTGTGTGTGTGTGTGTGTGTGTGTGTGTGTGTGTGTGTGTGTGTGTGTGTGTGTGTGTGTGTGTGTGTGTGTGTGTGTGTGTGTGTGTGGCACTGTGTGTATGTGAGCGCAGGTGTGTTCGTCTGAGTAAGCGCGCATGTGTATGTGCGTGTGTGGAAGGGAGCGTTATTAAGAGCACCAACAGACACATACACACACAAACACACGCACACACGCACACACATTTTGACAACGTAACAGACAAGGACGGAGTGTAAATACTACGCCTTGTAATAATTAAAACATTTGTCATGAAAAATTAAGTAAGCTGTATGAGTTCATTTATCTACTGAAGTATGTCCTTAGTTACTGAGCAATGCATGTTGCAGGGAAAAGGTACCAAATAATTTGAATTTTAGACGACAGATTTTTCTCGACTATATAATATATATATATACATGCACTTTCTATTTAAGAAACGCTAAAACTTGGAAGTTCATATCTTGTCTTTAAATGTACACTGGTTGTCCCTGAAGCCAGGATTTGCGTTCAAATTTCTCAAAATTTTGTTGGGAGCATGAGCCCAACCCCCCCTATAGCCTCTTCACGGCTGACGCCACTCACATGTTTGTCAGTCGTGCCTGCACATCGTTGAGGTGCTAGCTACGCCCTTGGCGGGGCATGATGCAAATGATCCTGATGTGTTTGTCGAAAGGTAGACGGCCGTCAATATCCACACTAAACTAAACCTGAGAACAATATATATATATATACATATATATCAAGAGTGCATAATAGAGATGTATAATCTCTATAATCTCTCTCTCTATATATATATATCTATTATAATGCTCTCTATTATGCACTCTTGATATATATATATACATTGTATCTATATGCATATACAATATAATATATATAAATATATATATTATATATACATAATATACATACACATCAGGAGTAGATAATAGGGAATCCCCTATTATCCCCTATAATTCCCTATTATCTACTCCTGATATACATATATATATATATATATGTGTGTGTTACGCGTAATAATTCCGATCTGCGCGATCGACCGATCGGCCCGGTTTTACACGGTTTGCTGGCCGGTTTATCAGCGTGAGTTGGGGTGCTAGAGTTAAGATAAGTCGGGTGCGAGTGTTAGATAAGATTGCGCAGGTCCGGTTTTACAGGATTCGTAAGCGTACATTTTGAGCCCTTCGGATAAGCTGTAGGAATGCGTTGCGCAATCTCGAGATTGCCGCACAGTCTGCCGATCGCGCGCTCGGTAGATGCGCAGATTGGAAGATTGCATGCAACATGTATATATATATATATATATATATAAATTGTTCTCAGTACTAAACAAGGCATTTTCTGCTGATCACACGGGCGCTAATTGTAATGTTTTAATATCACCGTAAAGTGTCACGTATGGAGACGACGTGTCACTGTCAATCGTACATAAATAAACGAAAACAGAATGCATTGACTACATTACACTTAGCTACACATGTAATTATTGGATCTTGAGTAAAAAATTTAAAGTTATATCTACATTATTTTTTTCTGTTTGACTAAATCCAGTATGATAATTTTGCATGTAAAAAATCATTCTACTTGGTCGTTTAGTGAGGCAAAGCCTACTTAAGAACGTAAATGTTTCTTTCTGAAATTACGTATCTACTGCCAAACATAATTTAGAATTAGAATAAGAATTATGTGTAAAAATCACATTAATTATCAGAATTTACCACTGTTCTACGTTTTGCAATTACCGATCCTTTCGCTGGGCGGCGCCACCATGCAATTGCATTACACTTGGATTAGTGGGCGCTCTCACCTCAAAAAGTAGATGTCAACATTAACGGTAAATTATATTATATCGGCTTTATTTTATTTGTCCCTTAGCATGACAACACGTGAATTATACTCAGTGATCTTGTCCATGTGCTAGGCTTATAATATATCGGTGTATTGTTTTCCGTCTCTACGCGTTATACAATTACAAGTTCAAGTTTGCAACGCCAACTTGGGCTCATACATATATTATAGCACTAAGCATAGGGTCTATGTCCCCCAGGGTACTGCCGGAACGTACCCTCGTACCCTGGTAACTATTTGATATGGTTAGGGTTAGGGGTAGGGAGTAGGCGTAGGCGACTCCCTAGACTCGTTAACGGAGTAGGCGAGGTACGGTCCGGCATATTACTTATTAGATATATCATATGGTTCCGATATATCGAACCGTACCCAGGGTACCCTCCGATATTGTCCGCAAATGCAGACGTTATAACTCCGCTTTGCTAATCTGAGGGTGCGGGTTTATCTGGTGCCATTAGTGGGGTCTGCGTCGGCTCGGACTACCTCCGATAGTACCCTGGGGGACATGGACCCTCTCAGCCCAACTTGGTCACAGCCTCTTGGAACGTTTCAATAAAAAACATGGTAAATAAACACGAAATGTATTTACTACCAAAATCTTAATGTATCTCTACTCTCTTTTGCCTATTATTGCCGATGACTTTCTGTAAATGCCGTTCAAATGCTCCTCTGCAACACACAAATTCACAAATACACCGCACGCACAGTTTATTACCGGTTGGCCCGCTTCCATTTCGCCTAGCCTACAACAAAATTCCAATTTCGCCTACAGCAAAATTTCCAGTTGGCCTACACCCATTTCGCCTATTCCCAATTCGTCTACGCTCAAAATCTACCCAATTCCCATTTCGTCTACGATCGGTTTGTTCACTAAATAATCATTTATAAATAATAAAATATGGTTTTGATTGGCATAGATAGACTACAGGAACCAGAAGAAAATGTAGGTACATATAATGAGAACACAACTTGACAAAAATATTATCTATATTAATTATTAAATTATAAAATATTAAATTATTTATAAATAATATTAATACAATAATAAATAAATCTAACTAGTGGTAGATGAAATGACACTATTATTTTACTTATTCTGAGAGTAGACGAAATGGGAGTAGGCAAAATGGGAATATTGCCGATTCTGAGAATGGACGAAATGGGAGTAGGCGAAATGGGAGTAGGCCAACTGGGATGTTACCGCACGCACGCCGCTGTGCACAAACAACAAGAATAAAGAGTTTATTTGTGTTTATTCTCTTTATTCTTGTTGTTTGTGCACTGCGGCATGCGTGCAGAGTACTGCATGATGTGTTGCATAGTAGCATTTGAACGGCATTTACAGGAAGTTATCAGCAACAACAGGCGAAAGAGAGTAGAGAAACATTAAGGCTTTGGTAGTAAATACATTGCGTGTTTATTTATCATATTGTTTTATTGAAACGTTTCAAGTGCCTGTGGGTCCAATCCTAGTTCCCACTCTCTAGTTTAGCACCCAGGACTTACCAGGATATACCAGGGCTTCGAAACTAGGATTATGCCAAACCAAGGAACCTGGTAGTCAAATCCTGTTTCAAACAATTAGGGGAAGGCTACTGTTGTGTGTCTCCTTTAGCCCTAGTACTATATATAGACACTTTAAAAAAGGCCAAAAGGATGACTAATCATGTTCTTCGGAACATTTTATTTTAGGTAGCATGTTATCTGCCCTCAGACATCGTGTCCTTATGCGGCCTGCTCCGCACTGTAGGCCCAGGTTTGGATTGCTTAGTGATACCACACAGCTCATAAATCACCGTCCTGCTGTGGCCGCAATGGTGAATGTTAGGCATCGCAGCAGCACGTCACCACACCAATGTCGAGCTGTCATATTTGACCTTGGAGGAGTGGTGTTCCCTCAACCACAGAGATTTTTCAATGGCAGGTTTAAGTTTGTGTGATGTGATTGAATTTTGTAAGCGATTATCAGGGATTTATTCTCAGATTAGTAGATAAATTTCTGTTATCATTAATGGGGTTTTCATGCATCAGTTCCTGTGTACAATTAAGTAATTTAATTCAGGTTTTAATTAGAACATTTCTGTTATGATCTTATGATTTCCACTGACTTCCCGCATTGCTGTTTTTATTTGCAGAATTTGAGACCGCACAAGGCCTTCCAATAGGTTTCATGGAGAGTGTCATCTCAGAGAGAGGGCGGGCGGGATCATTTCGATGTCTAGAGAGGGGAGAGATTGATCTTCCAAAGTTTATACCATTATTTGACAAGGAATGCTCAGAAAAGGCATGTGAAATTACGACCAACCATATGGGTTATTAAAATTTAATTTACAGTTTCTAACAAGTTACGTTGAAATTGTAGTGGTAATACGGATATGCCTTTCACACATAATAAACTGTTCGTACTAAGTCAAGAATTATTAATCAAGATGAGGATAAAGAATTAGGAGTTAACAAAATGCTGCTTGTATGAGTGGTTGTGAGTTCACGTTATTTTGGTCGTTACGTTAGCGTGTTCATAAAATTCAGCTATTCAACACTAGAACTATTTGAATTTTGTACAATTGATTTTACTGTGGCTTACCAGTATATCATTCTGCAAAAGCCCAGTAACCGGTTAGAAATTACTCTGTTAGTAATACTGTGGCATGATTCTATACGCAGGTTGGCAGGTCGGTGGACCTTGGTAGAGTGATGCAGATCCTGACTAACACCAAGTCAAAGCACACTCCATACCCACAGATTATAGATGCAATTCAATGCATTCGTGCTGAGGGGCTCAAAACTGCACTTCTAACCAATAACTGGTTCATTCGTGGAAAGGAGTCGTTCTGTCCAGTCGACATGAGTCTTTTCGATGTGGTACGTATTATCAGAAGTAGATAATACTAATAGGGAAGGAGTGTGACTTCAATAAACAAGGAAAATTCGTCATTTACTAGCCTTAGAATACCTACGATTTACTACGCGTAACTCAACCACCTTGAGCTCAAATCGTACACAGTACATTCGCCTAGCATCGTGCGAAATTGTTTCCTTGTATACACCCGCAATCCGGAGATACAGACTAAAACGTACGACACGATTCTCCATTCTGTTCAGTGTTGCCAGCAAACCGAATCCATAACCCACCTAACTTGAAACAATAGGCAGCTACTAACGACTCTTGCGGACTCTTGTGCCCACGGCAATGCGGTGTGGCTCGCTGGGAGATTGGAGCTGGAGCTGCTGCTGATTGCGGTGGGCGTGCGTGCGTGGGGGGCATACCAGCTGTAAATAGGTCAAAGATTAGCTCGCCGAGTGTTGCGTTGATGTCCAATCTCCCAGCGAGCCACACCGCATCACTGAGGGCACAAGAGTGCGCAAGAGTCGTTAGTAGCTGCCTATTGTTTCAAGTTAGGCGGGTTATGGATTCGGTTTGCTGACAACAGAATAGAGATTCATGTCGTGCGTTTTAGTCTGTATCTCCGGATTGCTGGTGTATACGAGGAAATGATTTCGCACGATGCTAGGCGAATGTACTGTGTACGATTTGAGCTCGAGTTGGTTGAGTTACGCGTAGTAAATCGTAGGTATTCTAAGGCTAGTAAATGACGAATTTCCCTTGTTTATTGAAGTCACACTCCTTTCCTATTATCTACTTCTGGTATTATGTAGCATCATAAGCATACCAGGGGTGTGTTCTTTGCACAGCATAAACGCATTATACTAGTAAGTGTATGTATGCTTCTCTCTATGATATATGGTAACTTTGTACTCTATCAAATCATCTAGTCAATTTATTCCTATTCATTTACATTAATGCACACACTTAATAATTAATGCACTTAATAATTAAACTTGATGCCTTGTCAGTTTGTCAAAATCTTAGACTTGTGCACCGTGCACGTGTTCATGAAATGAGAGTACGTCATGATTTGGCAACATATTCACTGTCTAGTCAGTATATATGGCTTGTGAATTGTGATTCTATTTCTGTAAAATGGTGCGACATCATGTCAACGCGTAAGCGAAGTTGACATTGACATGTTCTGTATATGCAGCTAGATGATTCGTTATAATTATGTATTTGAATCAATCGTATTACGCATTTCGTATTGCGATGGTCTTAGTATTGTAATGTACCATATCGTGGTACGTGTCAATACATACTGTATCATGGCCCATATATTATTATACTAATCGCATCATGGACTAGGTGAAAATCTTGCAGCCCTACTTCTGCTCATATTACAAGAACAGTGCATTTTGGGTTACATAAACCTTGTTAAAAGTACATCAATGCAAACTTATATAGACTAATATTATTTTCTTGTGATATTAATATTTATAATTATATATTAGTATCTATAATAATAATAATAATATAACTACCTTCATTTCCTTACTTTTAAAATATCTAATATATCTTGTAAGCAATCCGGAGGGTGAGACTCGGAGGTTCATCATAATACCAAAACCCCAGGACTGTTCATACCGTGGTCACGTCTGTGAGCTGTGAGGCGGTGACGGATCCGTCGTTACTAGACTGCGACGTGAACACGCTTGTGCGAGACTGCGAAGACACGCTGCGCGAAACCACCCCCGCCAACGCCTTTCTGTCCACGCAGCATTTCTCGCCGCACGCGAAAACCTCGGCGACGCCCGAGCGGAAGTCCTCGCTCGTCACGCTGTACGCGTAGAAGTTTGCGACGAAGTTTACCGGCTCGAGGATGTTCGTGATCAGGAAGAAAGTACGGTACGCGCTCGACCGCTGCGTGCGCCGCGACAGCACCGGCCGCAGCACATTACGCGCCGTCGCAGGGAGAACGCACAAGACAAAGATGGCGGTGATGGACGCGAGAAGCACGACTGGACGAAGCTGGGTGTTGTCACCGCGCGGTTGGCTAACCGAGAGCTGGCGTCGCACGGTGCGGCCACGACGGTGCGAGCGAACAATCAGCGGGTTGAGGATGAGAACGCAGGCGAGCGGGAGCGCGTGGCTCACGATCTCACGCGTCCATGTCCACGCGGTGAACAGCCAGTGCTGTGTGACGCGCTTGTTCGCGTGTGCGTCGTACTGCGTCCGATTCGTCGCCGCGTCCCATTCCACGACGATGTTCCTCTCGAACAAATACGGCACGCTCAGTGTGAGCGCGAGTGCGTACGCGGTTGCCACGACGATGCGGGCGACGCGCTTCAGATGCGCCTGCCAGAATTGTAGCGGGTGGCAGACAGCGAGGTAGCGGTCGACGGTGAGTGCGGTCGTGACGAGGGCGCTAGCGGCAGCGAAACCCATGCGCAGGAACGTGAACAAGTGAGCGTCGATGAAGGCAAAGCAGAGCGTGATGTGAGACAGCGGTGGGGCACCTATATTGTACACCTGCAAGCAGAGATGTAGCCAGGGGTAGAAATTAACTTTTGAACAAGGGAGTCCGACGGACTCCCTGCCCGCAAAAAGAGGGAGTCCGCAGCAAAATGAAGGAGTCCGTAGTCTGAAGTTCAAGATTAAAGATATTAACAATAACGCATGTGTTTATTTTGAAAATTCATGCGGTTGCACGTCTGCCCAATTTTCTTTGGACATTTGCTGAAAAAATACGGTAATTCCACGAGGCCGCTCTCTGGAACAAACTAGTTAGTATAGCAGAATTTTCAGGGAGTCACACAGACTCCTGCATATGTCAAATCAGGGAGTCCGACAGTAAATCAGGGAATATTTGACTCCGGACTCGCGTTAATTTTGCACCCTGTGTAACGATGTGTCGACATGACAATAATCGCCGTACATTGCTGCATGTATTGCATCGTTTCCTCGTATATCGATAATACGATATACATTGCAGAAAGCTTATTGTATAAGAAAACAGAGAGCAGTGGTTAAATGAGTGGTAATACAATGGTCTGTCATCAAGCCATACCAGTTTCTTTCAGCATACAGCATAAAAAAACAAAAAAAATTCATTTTGCTGTACAATGACAATACGAAGGTTTATACTGAGAGAAATTATGCATTGAGCGCCGCCATATTAATATCGTATACACATCGTATCGTGGCCTAAATACCAAGATACGGATCGTGTCGTAGTTGCATGGTGATGCTACCTGGAAGACGCTCCAATTGATGATGAAGCCGAGGTCAGCGACGGCTAGCCAGCGGAGGTACAGGTAGAAGACTCCCACGAGGCGTCTGCTTCTGCACAGTACGACCAGGTTGAGGGCGCCACCGATCAGACCGAGCGCGCAGAGCACGAGCGCGAGCACACGCATCGCCACCTGTGTCCCATCGTCGTGATCGTCGGGTGGCGGAGTGGCGTGCGTGCTCGCAGGCAGACGGTCGCTGCCATACGCATCCATCGTAAGAAGTCAAACCTGTATGAAGGGGTTCACCTATATATTACCTTCATAGCGTGGCATCTGTTATATAGAGCTGGTTTCACTGTACTGTTGCTATTGAAGGGAAACACCAATAGTATTCTTTATAGACAGGTGGCCGTCTTATAGAGGTGTTGGTTAGCACCAGTTTGGCTGTGTAATCATAGTACTAATGCGTAAACAAGCTATGAGAGTTTTGAAACGCGTGCTTCAGTTGTAACCAGATTGCAGCGGATCTTTGGAAACTGCGTCACTGCATTAGCGATGATACGTCCGGTGTGCGCGCTGTGTGTAGAGCGAGTGATGTGAAACGGTAGTGTACAACTACTGCCTGTTGTTGGTCCACAACAAACGTCATCATTCTGTTTGGGAACTTTTGTCTGTAATGCTCCATATTCTGTGACGGCATTTCTAGTGATTACTTAGTGTTGTCGGTTTACACGTTAGCCAACAAAGGCGGTGCCAACATGGTTTAATGTTATTTGAACTGTAATACTGGCACACACACACACGCACGCGTGCACACACACACACACACACACACACACACACACACACACACACGCACACGCACAAGCACACACACACACACACACCACACACGCGCGCGTGCGCGCACACACACGGCAGCAGACCCCTTTAACGTAATTCGACATCGGATGAATTGTTTAGTTTCAAGTTTATTAGATTGCATTGCTAATCTAATACTTATTGTTTAGATAAAATAAACAGCCAGTTAGAAACAGGGTGTTTCCTGTCTAAATTTTTTGTCAATTTTTTGCAAATCTCACTCTGGAATCATGCAAACAATTTATAGCAAGAAGTCGGTAGATTATCAGCTATAGAATTGTAGCGAGAGACTCAATGTAGTTCTACTATAAACGTGTACTGAATGAAGGTAATCATTGGCTGTTTCAGAATATATGAGTGACATAACGTACATATGTTCAAAATAGTACTCAACCATTCTAATAATGTTTCTCGCTCGCCTCACTAGGTGATGCAGTCAGCGAAACTTGGCGTGGCAAAACCTGATCCTGCGATTTATGAGCAGACGCTTGGCAAGCTTCACTGTGCGCCAGAGGAAGCGATATTCCTGGATGACATTGGGCAGAATCTATCTCCCGCACGCAAGATGGGCATCAAAACCATCAAGGTGATCAATACATGCAACCATATACTATGTGTTGGGGTTTTTATTAGTTAAGTTAGTAGTGTAGTGGCCCTAGGGGTGACGACCACTGGATTTACAGGTGTTAATTTGTTTCAGAATCTTTTTTCGCTCTTATCGTGAGGTGTGATGCAGTAACTAGATATAGACACCAGAGTGAAATTTAATAAAGCTTTTATTAGTAATATAGAAAAATGGGTAACTTTATTCAACAGTACAATCGTCGTCCATGTTTAAACTATATATAGATACACGCGGATTCAGTATATAGTACAGAGTGCGAAATTAACTAGAGTCCGGAGTCAAATACTCCCTGATTTACTGTCGTACTCCCTGATTTGACATATGCAGGAGTCCGTGTGACTCCCTGAAAATTCTGCCATACTAACTATAGTTTGTTTCGAAGCACGGCCTCGCGGAATTATTGTATTTTTTCAGCTGATACGTTGCACATGCGTTATTGTTAATATATTTAGTTTTGAACCTCAGACTGCGGACTCCCTCATTTTGCTGCGGACTCCCTCTTTTTGAGGGTAGGGAGTCCGTTGGACTCCCTTGTTCAAAAGTTAATTTATACCCCTGTAGTATATTATGTAACATGTTAGATTAATGTGTCCACCATCGTGACCGTTGTGTTCTTCGCTTGCGACGGTGATTTCTTAGATGTTGATCAGGTGATTCCTTTGCTGTGGATCGATACGTTGATTTTCTCGATGTGGATTGATGTGTTGATTTTCTCGATGTGGATTGATGCGTTGATTTTCTCGATGTGGATTGATGTGTTGATTTTCTCGATGTGGATTGATGCGTTGAATTCCCCAATGTTCCCAGGAACCCTGTTTTAGTTCCCTGACCTTGGTTGTTCACTGGAGGTCGGTCATCGGCAGAGTTCGAACAAGAACCTCATTGCTGCTGATGATTCGTTTCTTCAGAGTTCGGACAAGAACCTCACTGCTACATGTCCTAACGATCCTATTCAATCCTCTACCTATGTACATAAGCTATACAATATGTATGCTGTAAACTCGACATGCAGCCCTATATATACTATACACCATTACACTATATAACGCAATATTACACAATATAAATACGTGTATTTGGCCTTGTAGCCTTGCTGTGCCTGCATGCTTTATTACCTCCGCGCAACGGAGTTGCAGGGGAGGTAATGTAATCGGTCGTGTGTGTGTGTGTATGTGTGTGTGTCCAGCTCGCGCGGCGCGATCGATAGCGCGTCGAGTCAGCGAGCGGCGAGTCAGCAGCAGGCGAGTGAGTCAGCAGCAACCACCAGCGAGCGGCGATTCAGCAGCCGCCACCAGCGAGCGGCGAGTCAGCAGCAGGCGAGTCAGTCAGCAGCAGCCAGCAGCGAGCGGCGAGTCAGTCAGCAGCAGCCATCAGCGAGCGGCAAGTCAGCAGCAGGCGAGTCAGTCAGCAGCAGCCAGCAGCGAGCGGCGAGCCAGCTCGTAACACATACATGTTACATGCTCGCGGAGGTATGCACTCTCCGTGAGTGCCCTCTGTCTAGTTCTCGCTGTCACACACATGTCACAGGTAGAGAACCCAGCACAGGCGTTGCGTGAGCTGCATGCAGAACTAGGATTCCCTCTCGCTGGATTCGTGCCGGGGACAACGGCCGTCGGTGAAAACTACCAGCTACCCGTCGACCGCCTGCTCACGTACATGCGAGACGTCGCAGGCATCGAGGTAGATGGCGCCACCGTGAACCTGCGACAGTTCCGGCACGGCCAGTCTAACCCCACGTACTTCTTCGGGTGCGGCGGACGGAACTACGTGCTCAGGAAGAAACCGGTAAAACATAATCGCCATGAAGATGAAATCGAGAATGTTACTGCGATTAGGCGGAGTACATGGTAGACGAGAAACGTGATGGTGCATCGCGGCTTGTGAAATGCGATATTTACTAGTAATCGGGTAGGGTACGTGTCCCATCACTGGTGTGGGAATTTCGTAAATAACCTATATTGACTTAGGTCTCTCTGCAATTTTTCCTTATAATGTAGCTTCATGTCTTTTCTATGTAAATTGCTTTTTCAGATGGTGAGCATCTCTAGATTTGTTATTGCTAGTGCGCATTATTTTTCTAGTTGTTGGATTATTCCTCACAGACTGCACAGTACAAAAGTAGAAGCAGTATGAACACTTGCATCTCTGCATTTGCACCCATTTCCATCGATGTGATCAAAATGTCACGGATTTTTATGTGTGACTAACATTTATTTTTAGCCGGGAAAGCTTCTGCCATCAGCGCATGCTGTGGAGAGAGAGTTCCGAGTGATGAGGGCGTTGGAGTGCCATGGTGTGCCCGTGCCCAAATGTCTATTTCTGTGTGAGGACTCCAGGTAATGGTATATCTAGTCAAAGATTTATATAACACTCTTCGAAACGAAAATATTTCTATATCCGATTTCGTTGTATTTTTAATAACTTCGCTGTAATGCATTCATAAATGATGTTAGAAGTACATATAGTTACATAATCTGTATTCGTTTACTTCTGATGTAAGTTTTATAATGATGATTAGTATTGTAAGTGTGATTGTTTTTCCAGTGTTATAGGAACGCCATTTTACATGATGGAGCACGTACCAGGTCGCATATTCAAAGACCCATTGTTGCCCAACATGACCCCTGTGGAACGCAGTGCTATCTACACGGCAATGTGTGATGTGCTAGTAAAAATACACCTAGTGAATATAGAGAGAGCCGGACTTCAAGATTATGGCAAACCTGGTAGAGAATTTGTTATCTGATTTCATTAATATCCTACTTATTTACTTCTGTCTCACCATTGCATCTCTCTGTAGCCCTAATTCCATGCCCTCTCCCTTCCTCTCTGCTTTCCTCAGTCCCTCTAGCCCTCTCCCACTCTTACTCCCTCCCCATCATTCACTCCTCTCATATCTCTCTCTGTCTCTCTCTCTTTCTTTCAGATTTACCATCTTGCCTTCTTGCAAACCCTTTCTTGTCCCACTTTCCAGACACAAGATTAACAGACAAAAAATGTAGAAGGCACATTTAATACTGCCGTTAAATTTGTAGGCCAAATGTTTCAGTACAATAGCCTTCGTAATTTGTGGCCCTGCCAAGATTACTATAAACGTGATTGCACATATTGCTCACAGTATCTGCTATGAATGCGTGTAAATTAATACCTGGTTTCTTTACATCGTGTCTAGGTTCGTACTGGGAGCGGCAGCTGAGTACGTGGGGCAGGCAACATGAGGCGAGTAAGTTGCAGAATGTGCCGGAGATGGACGCGCTCATGGCCTGGCTGAGAGAACACCTGCCCGCAATCACCGCAAAAGAACGCAGGAGCATTGTACATGGAGATTTCAGGTTTTCGTCTATCTATCGATTATCGTGTAAATCAGTGGTTAACTTTCACATTTTCTGAAGGAGTGAGTGAGTGAGTGAGTGAGTGAGTGAGTGAGTGAGTGTGAGTGAGTGAGTGAGTGAGTGAGTGAGTGAGTGAGTGAGTGAGTGAGTGAGTGAGTGAGTGTGAGTGAGTGAGTGAGTGAGTGAGTGAGTGAGAGTGAGTGAGTGAGTGAGTGAGTGAGTGAGTGAGTGAGTGAGTGAGTGTGAGTGAGTGAGAGTGAGTGAGTGAGTGAGTGAGTGAGTGAGTGAGTGAGCGAGCGAGCGAGCGAGCGAGTGAGCGAAAAGCGGTGAGTATTTTTAAGAGTGAGATTCTGCATATAAATGTAATCCTACAAGATCAAGCATATTGATGTATTGCTGTCTCTTGATTGTTGAAGGCTTGATAATCTCATATTTCATCCGACGAAGCCTGAGGTGGTGGCAGTGCTAGACTGGGAGCTGTCCACGCTAGGTGACCCCCTTGCTGACCTCGTCAATGACTGCGTCGTTTACCACACCAAGCCCAACATGCCACACATCCGAGGTACTCCGAGATTCCTCGCCCTTCTCTGTTCCTCGTAGCTGTTTGTGTGATACTGTGTGACACTGTGTGACTTGTGTGACACTATAGTGACACTGAGCCTGTTCTGCATGAAACTGTGTAGTAGTGTGAAAAAGAGTAAACGGATGTAATTGACAGGGATGGTACTAATATTGATTAGTGTTACTATACGTATATATGTACATGGCTGGTGGATATGTCGTTGTGGGGGGATGGATATGGACACAGGCCGGTACTGTTTTTCTGCTATGCCGCATAATCGCTGCAGGTTTCGGCGATGTGGACCTAAAATTGTTTGGCATCCCATCAGAGGAAGAGTTTTTGAAGCTATATTGTCGCCGTGCTGGTCTCATGCGCATCAACAACTGGAACTACTACGTCGCCTTCCTGTTCTTCCGCTACTGTGGCATCGCGCAGGGCATTTACAGCAGGTTCTTAAAGGGTAGGTTCGAGAAAAGTTGTCGTCGTGGGTTTTTTGTACCATATGGTTCATTATTGAGATCGATAAGATACTTTTCCTTATTTCTTATTCGTATGCTATGACTGTGTCGGTTTTATTATTCAAATTTCAGGGTTCTCCCTACGTTGCGCAAACGGGGCGCGCGCGCCCGCCCCGTTTGGGAAAACTCCCCCCTGTTTAAATTCCACCACAATAAAAGTTTGCCAGCGCGCGAATCGATCGTCAAGAGTTGCCGTTCGACCAGGACATCCGACGCGTGTATTTTTACCCGTACCAACGCATGCACTGCAGACAGTACACAAGTTAACCTGTCACTAACTGTACAGTCAACTCGGCTATCTATATATACAAGAACCCCAATATCCGCTTATGGTGTGGTGGCGATTTACGCATTAATTTAGTCGTAGCGTAAAAATACACGACCCCCGGACCCCCCTCCCCCCTCCCCCCTACGTTTCCCCCTCCCCCTCCCCTCCCCCCTTCCCCCTCCCCCCTACCCCTCCCCTCCCCCCTGTTTGAATTTCATCCTGGGGAGAACCCTGAATTTATTTAACTATTAATTAATCGTTCAGTTATCTATGAATAATTAGCTTATGCCAGATATTGGAGATATTTTGTGATTGTCATTACCATATATTATGGTGCCTGTTATGTTGTTAATGGTTTTGATACTATTACTTCATATATAAGTATTCCACTCGTGTATATGGACTTTGACCTGATACATACATTTTTCTGTTGTTGACACCTGTGCACACATAGATGTATATTTATATGGCACATAAGTATGTGGTTGGCTATAATCATAAAGGGCACAAGGTATATATTACTAGTGTTTGTGTGAGGAATATGGATTAAAATGTGCAAGATTAAATAACGTAAGCGTTAACGTTATCTGTGGAAACACCAATTACATGTGAATACGCCTCACATGGAAATTATCCCCTCCCAGGCTGTGAGCACGTTTACTGGTAGCTGTGCGTGAAGCTGGGTTAGAAGCAAGATGATGATTACATTGCTATACTCTGCAGGTCAGGCAGCTGGTGCAAATGCAGAGATGTTAGGCGCTTACGCTAGGCAGCTAGCCAAGATCGGACTCGAGTACACCAGGCAGGGAGTGCCCAAGGCACCTAAGAGTACGAAGGTCGGCACAAGGTCGTACTCCAGCCTGGCATCATCTCCCATTCCACGGGTATCGCAGCACAGGCACTACACCATGGAGACGGGTTCTGCTCAGTCGGCGGATGGTAACGGTGAGAATTCTGTAGGGAATTGTAACTTATCATATGTGATTAGTTAAATATGCACGTGCGTTCACACGCGTGTGTGTGTGCTCATGAGTACAGGTGTGTGCATGCACGTGCATTCACACGGGTGTGTGTGCTCATGAGTGCAGGTGTGTGCACGTGTGAGATGCTGCATGTATGTACTATTCTCAGAGATATCCTAAACTAGATTTAACAGATTATTCGGACTGAATGCTTTTTCCTGCTCTAGGCCTATTGCCTATCACAGTAGCAGCCTTATCACCCCGTGCCCAAGATTACCACAGACGGGTGAAAATCTTCATCAGGGACAACGTAGCAAACTGGGAGAATGAGTACATGCAATACCAAACGCAGCCAGACACGAGATGGACGGTGCATCCCAGACTAAGGCAAATCCAAGTTAGTGAGTATAAGCTCTGTGAGGTCCGCATGAAGTAAAATCTTGAATTCTTATCGCGTTCATTATTTCTTTTTTCTATTAAATTTATTATATTTCTCTCATCCACAAAAGCTTCTGGGATTAAAAAAAAGCCAAAGCACTAGCCATCAGAAGACTACTTTGTCTAATCTCTGTGTGCTCCAGCTAATGTGATCTGTTATCTTGTGATGCCGGAGTTTTCGACTGAATTTATACTTTTTTTAAACTGTATAATATTAATGCATTTTTAATAACATGCTAACTAACAGCACACGTGCTTTATGGTAATTCTCTTCCTTTCCACATGTTTTATAATCTTTCATAAATTTCGCATCGTTTGCCTGATGTGGTTTGTTATATTAATTGTTAGGCCAGAGCTAGAGAGGCAGGTCTTGCTAACCTGTTTGTCACACGCGAGTCAGATCCACAGCAGATATATGGAGCTGGGCTCACCAACGTTGAATACGCACACATCTGCGAACTCATGGGAATGTACTTGCTTGCACCAGAGGTAAGTGTTACTACTATATTGGCTTCTAATTGTGCTATAGTCTCATTCATCCCTCTCCCTCTTCGCCATTTTACATATCAGGCATTTTCACCTGTAAGTGGAATCGAAAGCAATGGAATCGGATCACAAAAATACAATCTGCAGCTACTTCCTTTGTGTTTCCGTCATTCTTTAGGTGTTTAACTGTCAGGCGCCTGATACGGGTAACATGGAAACGCTGATGAAGTATGCGACGGAGGAGCAGAAGCAGCAGTGGCTTGTGCCGATGGTGGAAGGACGCATACGCTCTTGCTTCGGCATGACAGAACCACAGGTAGAAGTGTTGTCAGTCACTAACCTTCATATTCATCACATATTCGTCACACAGCTCGTACTGTAGTATGGAACAATCACCGCCGTCAGGCAAATGACGGGAAATTTATGAAGGATTATAAAACATCAAGAATCGTAAAGTTTGCGTGCGGCTAGTGAGCATGTCATGTATTACTATGAGTAAGCTTATGATGGTTGTGTCACTGGTTCAGCTCTAACACAGGCAGCTCAATTGTTCATCTCCTGATTTAATGTTAACCTCACTGCCACTATCCAATTGCCGTTGTTTAATTGGTATAAATAATCGTAGCAGGAGCTTATAAAAGCATCTGTTGTGATCAACTCTTGTTAGTATCATCGATTCACATTTCAAGCAGGTTTATTTCTGGGTGACAGGTTGCTTCATCAGATGCGACTAATATACAATCGTCGATCACAAGAGATGGCAACGAATACATCATAAACGGACACAAGTGGTGGACGTCCGGTGGGTGCTTAATCGAATTCTTAAGCCTAGCGCAGACCTGCGACTTTTTCATGCAACCTGACAGCGATTCTAGAATCGCTGTAAAAATGTCTGTGGGAACGTGCAACTGCAACCCGTAGCGATTCTGGCCGCTTGCGACGAGTTGCAAGAAATCGAACTGTTTTGATTTTGAGCGACTCGTTGCTCCCAATCGCTCCCAAATTGCTGTATATTTGCTTCGAAATCGCATGTGTGCGCACACGCGGTGACACATCGACCGATCGCTTGCGGTTACAGGTTACAGCGACGAGCAACCGAAAATCGCAGGTCTGCGCTAGGCTTTAGAAGTTGTTCCAAACAAACATACAGAAGTACCTATGATGTTGGCTAAAATTGTGAGCTTCTGATACATGCTATCTATTGAGATGACAAGTTGAGTGTATGACAACTAGTGCGTGGCATGTGGTTATTGTTCATATGTCACTTACCTGGTATGCATTGCATGTGCTGACATGTTCCGATGTGATTCCCTACTTGGAATGATAAACACTTTCTTTGTGTGTGAAATGGAACGAAAAAAATGTACCTGAGTTACGCTGAGGAAGCGATCTCATGCAGCTATGGTTTGCTTTCATAGTTCCATTTGCAGTTCGTATCTCACAGTTCTGTGGTGTGGTTTGGTGACAGCCACCATGCTCTCTCACCATGTCATGTCTTTCCCACCATATCGCCTCTTCACCAAATTAATTACATCCTAACTACCCTCTTGGGAAAAAACCTGAAAATATTTCATGTTTCATGCATAATAATTAAAGGAAATGTCCTGTTCATGTTTAGGAATTTTTATGGCGCATACGTGGAATTGTCCATTCATTATTTCATGGGTAGCTTCGTACAGAGAATATACTGTTTATGTATCACCCATTAATTTTCATTTTGCATGAGTTTTTTGGACGAAAACGGTTTTACTTTAGGTACATGAAAATTTATGCATAATAATTCATTCACGTTTTATGTGCAAAACAGTCACAAAAATACATGTCTGGGCAGGGTATTATATTCCATTATTTATGCATGAAACATGCAAGATACATGCACCCCATGAAGTAAAGTCTCGTGTCGTTCTACAGGAGCCATGCATCCAGACTGCAAGCTGTGTGTCTTCATGGGGAAGACTGATCCGAGCGCGGACAAGCACAAGCAGCACACAATGATCCTCATACCGATGGATGCCCCCGGGGTCAAGGTCATCCGTCCGCTCACCGTGTTTGGGTTTGAAGATTCGCCAGGTATACACACCACCTATTGTCGTTGTCTATTGTTACCTTTCTTCTTAGAAGGATTACCTACATCCCAGATAACATGCCAACGTTGGGCCAACGTTGGCATTTGGTTGGCACGGTCACGGTTGGCAATATGACATTGGGCCCATGGTGGGCCAACGTTGGCATGGTTACGGTTGGCATGTGCATGGCAATATGACGTTGGGCCAACGTTGGCGTATGGTTGGCATGGTCACGGTTGGCAAGTGATTGGCTGCATGACGTTGGGCCAACGTTGGCGTATGGTTGGCATGGTCACGGTTGGCAAGTGATTGGCTGCATGACGTTGGGCCAACGTTGGCATATGGTTGGCATGATGCTACTTGCAAATGGTTGGCTGCATGACGTTGGGCCAACGTTAGCTGCCAACGTTGACGTTCTGAGCAAAAATCCGTTGGCCCAACGTTGGCATGGGCTGAAGACAGCCCTTGAACCAACGTTGGCCCAACGTCAGCATGTTATCTGGGATACTACTACCTGTTGGCATTATCCAGTGTTAACTAAATAGATCTTTCGACGCAAAATTATGCCAGTGGTTGTTATCTGCTGGTAACTTTTTTTCCCTTTTCTGGTGTGATCTTCAAATAGCTGTGATGTTCGATGTGGAGAGTTTACATACTTTTCGTGTTCTGTGTTGTTATTTGTATATTATGATTGGAATGAATTAACGTTTTATGTTTGTTCTGGGTAGAGAGGTAGAGAGCAAGAGAGAGAGAAAGAAAGAGAGAGAGAGAGAAATAGAGAGAGAGAGAGAGAGAGAGAGAGAGAGAGAGAGAGAGAGAGAGAGAGAGAGAGAGAGAGAGAGAGAGACAGAGATGGGGGTTAAAGGGGTGACAAGAGAAGATGTGAAGTCTAATTAAGAATCGAATTGTTATTGCGGTTATGTATTATTAGGCATAGAAAGTCCCAGTGGTTCCAGTGCTTACAGTTTCACCACTGAAACACTACGCTACCAATTTAGCCGGTGTAACGGTCGTATTAATAACGACAGAATCACAAAGATTCATTTACGTCCATCAGAGGCCATCGTGATCACAAATCATCCATGTTCTTCCACCAGAGGGCCATGCCGAAGTGTTGTTTAAGAACGTGAGAGTGCCCGCATCGAACATACTGCTTGGTGAAGGTCGCGGGTTTGAAATTGCGCAGGGCAGGCTTGGACCAGGACGGATCCACCACTGCATGCGGCTCATCGGAATGTCAGAGAGAGCTCTCCAGCTGATGGTGCAGCGTGTAGGTGGTGCCGTTACAACAAGAGAACGTGTAGTATTATTATCTATTTGCACGTGGTTCTAGGGGTGTGGATTGGGAATCTACCTGGTTGTTTTCCATGTATGAATGAGGTTTCCTAGTTTTGGTGTACACTTCGTTTTGCTTTCATGACAGTAAGCTGTAGAAACGGACAATTGCTTAGGAAGCCTTACCAGGCTTTTTGAACTGAAATGTTTCATGGATTTTTTTAAAAGAATTGCTCCATTCTCTTCGAAGCTTCCCGTTGCAATTCGTCCAGTGTCGGTGTTGCTATCGTGATATGCCCGTCTGACGTGCCACGATCCCACACACACAGGTACTCACGCGCGAGACGTTTGGACAGAAGATTGCTGAGCACGGCACGATACAGGCGGACATTTCTCAATCTCGCATTGAGATAGAGCAAGGTCGGCTGCTCGTGTTGAAGGTCGCACTCATGATGGACACAGTCGGCAACAAGGTGATCCATTGTGCGTGAGCGTATGCTAAAATGTATAGTTACTACAAATGATGACGTGTGTGGCTCGACCTGAAAATCACAATCCTATGAAAGGTATATATAGTATCATAATGTGCAGCACGTCCGGCTGTTAGCATTGTATGTGTGGAAGTATTTGACTTGTCTAGCTGAGGCGATTGGCAGGTAGCTTTCACCAGCTATGGTTTTCTGAGTCATCCTGAAGATTCTGTTTAGTGATAAAGTGCTGCACAGTCACCAGTTTGGTATGCATGCACGAAATATACATATTGCTTGGTCTAGCTGGTCCAGCCCAGTACCAGTGTCCAAGGGTGCATGGTTAGCTTGCTCAGATGGATAGGTCAGTTACACGTAGAGTGATCGCAGAAAGGTGTGATTATAGATCAGCGTTGATCTTTCAGAAAGCTGCGTCGGAGATCGCCATGATCAAGGTCGTGGCTCCCCTCATGGCACAGCACGTGCTCGACCGCTCCATTCAAGCGTTCGGGGCAGCGGGTGTGTGCGGGGACTGGCCCCTCGCGCACATGTGGGCGGCGGCGCGGGCGCTGCGGCTGGCAGACGGACCAGACGAGGTGCATAGACGCAGCGTCGCGCGCCTGGAGCTCCGCAAGTCCAAGCTGTAGTCATGGCAATGAGACGGTCGCCTAATCACTGCCTACTGCAGAGAAGATATAGTCAGAATGAAGATGTGCCTGAGAATGAATGCACTGCCACAAGGTAGATAGGATGAAGATGAAGCCACATTAGGGGCAAAGCCTGGTGTATATAATAATGGAGAGACACGATCGATCGATGTCACAGTAATTTAGGCAGGAATACTATTATAACATTTTCAATAACTGGATCAGAGTGTTTATATCCGATAGGATGGTTATGATTGCAGCTATAGCTAACGGCACGCAGGTGTGAGGAATAGATAATGTACAATCCATTAAAATTGTAAAATCGTGGCTGATCCAGTTACATATCATCAAGAATCCATAATACATGTAATAGAACATTTCTATTATGTACTCTTGATGATCTCATCACACCGGCCACTCCTCTTTTAATGGTAAATGAAGAATGGTAGCTAATAGCATGATGTGCTCAGGAATAACTGCACTGTATTTCATTCAGTCCACATTTTTCACTGTATCTAATAAATTGTGCAATAATGAATATAACTGAATACTTGCATTCATAAAAGCTGCACATCAGTTAACAAGTGTTTTTTTTAATATATAATTGCATCATCAAGTCATAATTGAAGACAAATGTTTTGCTAAGAAAATCATGACACTCCTAGTTGCAATGTTGGATGGATTCACTACAAACAAGTAATTAGCTATTGTGAAAGTTGTAATATGTAAAAAAATAAATGTTATGAAGGAAATTATTTATGTGTTCTATAAAACATTCCTACACGGGTCGTATGCAGGGTGCGTGAGATAATGCCTGTATGATTGTGTGGCACTGCAAACGTCTGCTGGGATTTATTGGATGTTTGTTCACAATTTGCCTGTACAAGAATTCAGCATTTTATTGTAGGTACTTTATAGTTTTTGCTTTAGGTACTAAGTACTTTTATACATCTATGTTTAAAAAAGACAAATGGAACAGAAAAAAAAGAGAAAAGGAAAAGAAAAGATTTACAGAATGTTTACATGTTTCACAACAAATTTATTTTACAAGTTGAGTGATAGCAACATCCATAAAGCCTCAAAGTGTTATGCAGCACACAATGACGAAATAAGATGATGTAATAATGCGTATAGTATGTAATAATACATACACGTATTACGTATGTATACATTACGTACGTAACTTATACATAGGATCAGGAGTGAATAATAATAGATTATTATTATCACTAATCTATTATTATTCACTCCTGGTAGTATGTAATAATACGTACAGTCACAATATAAGATAAATTTCTGCATGTAGCATGCATAGAACAGTTGGATATTATATTTAAGATACATTTGGCAAGCACACGAACGCACATGTAGAAGCCAAAAACTTGAAACTACCTAGCCAACAATTTATTTATTCTCTTCCAATCATATACAGCTAATAATGCAATTATTTGCATGATTTCACACATGATTTCTGGCTCACCCAGGTACCATATATAACAGGGGCACACATCTAAGATGGAACAGGAATGTGTCTGTAGCTTGGACGAACTCGGATCACCGGCGTAGGTCCGCTATAGGAATCGTTGGAATAGTCTCAGATACTGAATCGAGCCAAGTGTCTCCATTGATGATCTTTGTCGTTGCAATGATGTATTCAGTAGAACCTGGGAACAATGAATTGAAATTTGAGCTATGTCAGTTCCGCATGTCTATAAAACCATGACATTTTTGTAAGAAATCGTCAAATAGACGACGTTAACACGTAACTTTCAATACAATGTCTTCCAACTTTCACACAAGCAGTGAGCTTCCACACCCTTATGAATGCCACATTCCTTGAATACTCCCAGCAACTGTTTGTTGACATACTGTATAATTATGATGTCACATCATTCAATAGCTGAATTTGCACTACATGCATTTGGCATCACGGTCCCTGACATTTCTTTTGTTAAATTAAACAAGTGCCGCAGAGCGACAGCGCTCATCTAACGTCTACTGCGGTGACTCTGTGGTGGAGTGGTGGGATTCTAGTAAACCCTGTTAGTCCCAAATGTGTTCACATACACGCCGAAACAGTGGAATGCACAGGGATGGTATCAGGAACCTTCTCAAAAGAATGTTCGTTGGGATCGTTATGAAAGTTGCCACGAGATGGCGCGTACGTTTAAGTGTCTTCAGATTAAAGATGGAAGCTCCCATCATACGTAGTAGCAACAACTATCTGCAAGACAGAATAGGTAAGCACTCATCCATTTACCTACGCAAGCCTACAGGCTGCAATAGAGAGCTGCCACCTGTAACCAATTAACGCAGGCAAAAACTCCACAGTACCACCAACACATGCACTGGCAGTAGCCACTGGCAGTGGCATACGTTACATGTAACATACTGACAGTACAGAATGCCATAGAAATTATACGATTTAAGGAGCATAAACCTTCTTTAACCAAATTTAGCTTTTGAAATTTCACTGTGACATTGTAGCCTCATACATCCAGGCATGTATAGATTCTACTAGCAAACCCGGCAGTCAAATTCTTTCTAACAGACAGTCAACAAATCCATGTTTAACCCTCCTCTTGAGGGTCAAAAGGTTATCTGACACTTACTCTTCACATGTCAGCAGAAAGTAGATTTCATGGTCCTTTCAATAATGCCATAAAAATGCTAGGTCACCGCTGAAACAAAAAAGTTTTTCAATCGCTCCGTCAGACCATGTCCTCAGAAAATGTCTAAAATCTGCCCTGTGCCCATTGACCTTTGACCTGTGACCTCCAATTTCGGCACAGTGATGGCTTTTCCTACCATGATGCTATACACCGACTATCACGAGCCTAGGTCGAGCCGTTTAGATTTGTGCCGCAATTCTGCATTTCCTCCCTATACCTTAAGTTAAGGAGTGAATGTTCCCCCTTCTTTTACACCTTTTGACCTTTGACCTTTGACCCCCAGCTTCGACATCCCAACTCGTTTTCGGATTACCCCCCCACGTCCCGAATATCGTGACCGTACGTCGAGCGGTTAAGATTTGTGCCCAACTGTTGACGGACGCACGGACGATCATGCGATTCTACAAGCTGCATCTGACTATGTCAGATGAGCTAAAAATGACAATTAGTGCACAGGTAGTTTGAGAGACAGAAGACAGACAACAGACAGAAATGGAGATCTGGCGGTCGTTGCTGCCCTAGGTGCCACCATTGTGTAGAAGGAAGGAGGATAAAAGAAGAATTAATCACAAACGTACTGTCTTCTTGGTGGGAAAGAAACCGCAGTGCAGCAATCTCTGCATAGGTGACGCCACCGAGGAAATACACCAACATGATCTTCTTGTCTTCTTCACTTTGTAGAGATGATACAGAACCACCTGTAGCAACATATTACATAGTGTATTAGCAACTAGCCTTATATGGCTGCAATACTAAATGTCTATAAGTTGAGCAATACATGACTATTTCTATCAATTAGTGTGTAATCTGATTTAACTACAATGAAATGTTCTTACGCTTTTTTTTCAATCCAGTGGGTATTTCCTGAGAGACTTCTATCTTGGGTCCTGGCAGCAGATCCATGACTTCCTCTATGGTTCTCCAGCCCTGGCCAGGCCTTGCAAGAAACTGCGCTAACCTGACCAACACTGGAGCATAGCCACTATACACGTATGATACATCGGTCGGACTCTGAAACAGGATTATACTTTCTAAATATCCAACTGTCGTCAACATTAGCATCTACATGAACCACTACTTAATCATCACCAAACCAGAGAGACCGTGTACAAGATGGCGTTGCGCAAAAGATGCGTTGTTACCCGACTGCCGAGAGCGGTTAAGCCGCGAACTTCCGCGGGACTGGGCGCACGCGACCGCGGGGTGTTGTACACATGTAGCATCTCGCGCTGCCCGCTATACGAATTCGCGCGCCATAGGAGGGCGGGCGCGCGAATCCGTATAGCGGGAAGCGTAACATCGTGCAGTTTTCGTCAGATGTACACCGGCTTGACTACGGCGGCCTTGGGGGAGGGCATTTTCTGCTGCTGCTGCTTTGCTGCTCCAGAGCCGCGCTGCAGCAGCTAGCAGGGACCAGTATTTGGTGCTGCTGCTGGTTTGCCACGCCAGCCACGCCAGCGCAGGTGCTCGCACGACGTGCCGTCGCCACGGGCAGCGCGGGGTCAGGAGGTTGGTCGAAACATGCCACGTACGCAGCCAAGGGCGCCGCCGCGGCGGCGGTTTTGCAAATAGCATTTAGACCGCGCCAGCCCACGTGGAGCGCCGTACGCATCGACGTTAAAAGCTCTGTGATAGATGTGACGCTATATTCGGCAGTAGCCCACGTCATCGCGTAGCGGCGAATGAGCGAGCGCATGGTCGCTGAGTGACAGCATTTCCTGGGGTTTCTTGTAGGAGCCACTACGTCTTAGCCATGAGGCGCGCCACCCCCAAAAAAGTTTAGGGGCCTCTAGAAGTCCATCGCGAAATGTTCGTTTAATTGCGCCCAGTTTTCGCGGAGTTAGTTTTCAGACCCCTGTCTAAAGTATCTGTCTAAATGGACAAAAAGAGGGCGGCGTATTCGTTGTGGGGGCGTGGCTTCACCGCGAGCTGTGCGCTGCGCGCAATAACGGGGGCCGCATGTCCGTCAAGAAAACATGCTAAAATAAATTGTTAAACCCTTTTTAGATACACAGACTTGTACAGCCACCACTGTACACGAGGGCCATTCAAGCAAAGCCCCATAAGTGTCCTGTAATGACAGGTTTCTGTTTTATAGAATTTATTTCGTTACGTAACTGCCACTCATGGGAAAGGCTCAAGGTGTACGTTCTTAATAGACAACTCACTATTCCACAGAAGGATCCGGTAACCCAGACGTAACTATAAGCTTATCTAGTTACAATTTATATTATCTGCAAAGCGATCAGATAAGTGATTACACGTACATGCTCATTAACATGTTCATTAATTACCTGTTCACTGACATCCTCGATGATAAGTCGAAGGCCCTTGCGTATTGCTCCATAAGTTCGGTTTGTTTGCACTTTGAGGAGACCAGCTTTCTCCAAGTTTGAAAGTGTCAATGTGTGCTGAAATCCATACGTCTGCAAAATGGTAAATTATAGTATGGACAGGATTCTGTGATCACAACGTTTATCACATTGCATTTATGACGCCCACACATATTCTACCTTTCCCCGCCATTCTTCTTGCATAAACATAGCTCGTTTACATGGTTTCCTAGGAGATCATATATCTCTAACATATTTTAGACAGAAAAACATTGATACCTGCAAGATTTCTCTTTTGTAGTATTCCAGGTTCTTCTGTTTGAAACCATTGTTAGCCACACACTGTAGGCAGAGCAGCCGTAGTACCTGCACTTATAAATGACAGTTAAATATGAGAGTTACGGACAAGTTTTTGTTCCGTAAACGATCGATTAACAAAGTGTAGGAAGCATTAAGGTGACATACTATATACGACATAGCCTGGGTTACACAAAGTTTTGAAAGAGACATAGATATTATACTGGGTATAGCAACTCTGACCTTAGTCAGTGGCTCCTGCTTTGCTATGCAATCCTCGATAAATGGATGAATTTTATCTGTTTCCAAACCATTCATGAACTCTGAAAGCATAACAAAAAGTCACCTTCCCAAAGATATGACCACTAAACAGTATAGGCTCGACCATTAATGCAGTTCTTCTATTGTCACTTCATACATTTAACAACTTCTCTGTGTATTAATTGTAGTTTTTTCTCTTCAATATTTTAAGAAGCGGGTATAGACCTTGTTGCGTATGTAGTGCCTCTATAAATTCGTCTGTGTCTGTCACTTCCTTTACTAGTTCAGCAATGGAGGTATCTGAAAATATGAAACAATACCATTATTTCTTAAATTCTCTCACTTCAAAAAATATACTAAAAATAATCAAAGTCGCAGCGACTGGTCCCAGCCCTTAACAACTTGTCGAAATTGATATCCTTCCTCATTACACAATGGCAGACATTTTAACCGTGTAAACTTCAAGACGGGCGAATTTTGCATGGTCTTGCCATTGACTTCGAAGTCCTGTGCTAAGGATAGGAAAATGTTTTCTTTTAGCTGGGCATTCTTGCACAACAAATGACCCAGATCTTATACATCGTATTTCCTTAAACACATAAAATGGCCTGTTCGACAGATGCCATTCCAATTCATAGACAACTGAGATTTCTTTAAACTAATTTCGTTAGAAAAAGTTTTTGTCACGTGCCGGTGAAAACATTATCTACGACTGTGATTAGCTAATTAAAAAGTGTCGCGTGACTATGTCGCTGGAAATCAGAAACGATTCTAAATCGTTTTGTCGTTACAGTTGTCGCCGGATGTTATCGCGTGCGTGTGCAACTGCTCATTGAGAAATAGCTTTAAATTTTCAAAAAACCCCTCAAACTTGGCCATAGCTGTTACTACAGTGTCTTGAAGCATGTTTAAATGAATAATAGTTAGATCATCTTACTACTATTACTACATGTTGACATGATAATCAAGTTAGGACTCACGGTTTGCCAACGACTCCTTCGCAGCTTGGATATGTGGAAGTTTGGAGACAAACTGCTTTATTTCACCAACGGTTTTTGCTCCGTGTCTCTCCTGCAATCGATTACACACAAGACAACATTGTAATTGCCTGTGTTGGTGGGTCTAAAACAGTGAAACATTTTAATAATATGAAGGGATCCACATCTCATTCATCACTTATTTACCCACCTCAAACTGAGCTGATATAGCTTTGGCTTTGCGGCTCAACACTTGCCCGACTGCATTGAAATTCCTGTCCCGTATATCAGCATAAAGCTCCTCGAGAGAATTCAGAATGAATTTCTTTGGTTCGGGCACCATGGCAGAGGCACCACCGTGCACATCTGCTGACGAGAACTTTTCCATCGGCAGCTGAACAACCGCTAAAGTTTGGAAAATTCACATAAATGCAGAATACCACATAAGATCACATTTACGCACACAATATTACAACTCGTAATACCCCCGTCACACCGGGGTGGCGTCCTTACTGCGCTGCTACGGCGACGGAAAATGGGCCCAGAGCGCGCCAAGGTCGCCATAAGCGTGGTATAAGCGTGGTGGAAACGCCAGACATCGTGCTGTGGTCGCCATGGTCGCCAATGATCGCCGAGTCACGGCGTTTGTTTTGAGCATGTTCAAAACAAACGCCAAGGTTCGGCGATCTGAACTGGAACGCGGTGAGAACGCGGTGGGGTCGCGAAGGTCGTCAGACAAGCGTCGTAACATCTCCATAAACGTAGTACACGCGCAGAAAACGCGTGGCAAAGACGCTGCAAAAATGGTAACATTTTCAACGGCGAATTCATGGATCTGTCTCATCCGATCTGCCGAACTGTTTCATGCCGATCTGTTTCGGCCACGGCCTCAGCCTCTGGTAGCTTGTTTCTTCGGCATCGTGTTTCTACTCAGCAAACGCACAACTATACAGTTAAAATTTCCGAAAATCTGACCAGCTTATATAGTCACCGTGAGAACGTGGTAGAAACGCCGTGAGGTCGCCGTGCAGTCGCGATACACGTAGAAGACGCGTGGTAAGAACTCCATGAGCATGGTGAGAGCGCCGCGGGAACGCCGGTGATCGCCGTTGCAAAGCCCATAGATCTCAATAGAAACGCCATAAGCGCGGAGAGGTCGTGGCGGGCGCGCCGTGAGAACGCGGTATGATCGCACAGGTCGCGGTAAGAGCGCGGTTTTTTTCAAGTTTGTAATTTGTTGGGACTTTTTCTCGCGTTGTGCTCACGTTTGCCGGCGACCTTGTACATTTTCTGGTCGCCGTACGGTCGCGGATGGTCGCCGTCCGGTGTGACGGGGGTATAAAGCACCAGTAACATTCTCGCATAGTTTCTCTCTTTCCTGCTAGCTTTATATTACTCGATTCATTTATGTTTGTGTGGTATCAAGTTTATGGTTGTGTAAGATCAAGCTCTCTCGAGATTCAACAACTACAAGGTTCGATACCAACCCACTCGGTTATTCATCCATGTTTCATTAAATCTAATTAAATCCCCGAGTTAACCTTCACTGCACTGAGTCACAAGCTAGCTAACTTGTAGCTCTACCTCCTCTGTGCTAACCCTTAGTTCTTCTGCCTAAAGGTGGCAGCACTGCATTAGGCAACACAGCCATTGCATACAAGTCATATACTACAATTGTATATTAAATAAATAAACATACACACATATGCACGCACGCACGCACGCACGCACACACACATATATATATATATGTTATCTTACAGGATTTAATGCCATTCTCTGTAAAACGTGACATTTTGGCAAAACTAGAGATGTCAGTGCTATGTTCTGTGCGTAACTGTGTCTAACATTGTTACACAGAGAGTCACTGCACAAAGAAATTAAAGACAAAAGAAATGAATCAAAAACCCTGAAAGATTGGCAGTACTACACCACAGCACTCACTATTTTTGATGCCAAATATCTCGTCAATCAGTCCCTCGTACGTGAGCTGTGTTGCGAGTGGAGTAAGCAGGTCGACGGTTCTGTCCAGCAGCAGCAGAGAGTCGATCTGAGGCACGATCTGTGGCTCGCTGCCTCCCAGCTCTCGCCGCATCCTTAGCATCATGTCACAAACGTGCTAATTGGATAAATTCACAAACTGCCAGTACACCAGACGAGGATCACATACCACAAACTGTAAAGCAGTGCAAATTGCAAGATGTATTAGAGGACAATATGACTATTAAATAGTACTTTTCTATTCAGTATTTCTTTTTCGTATGGACAGAGGATTTTTCTAAGCACCATAATTTTCCTCATTTTCCTACAGGGACTTACCTTTGCCCACTGACCCTTTCCATGTATGTAAGGAATAACACCATAAAGAGCTTGAAGAGTCATGAGTGACTTTGCAGCATTGTACAATGATGTGTAGTCCTCATGTATGCAACATTCCTAAAGGTGAACCCATTAAAAAAAAAAAAAAAAAAAATTTTTAATTAGAATACAAATAGTGAAAAACTATTGCCCTGCTGAGTGTTGTAAACGAATTCTTGCACTAAAACGTGTTAACATTTGTTCGTGCATTTAACGTTCTAACAAACGTTCAACATTCTACTTTCTGTCATTTAATTTCAGTACAATTCGATGTTCTTGTCTCATATCCCCCTATGCAACCTGTTGCAACTCAACATGGCTGGTAAATCTACATCCAGTGGAGTTACATGGATGCTATTTGAAATTGTAAGTGCATGAACAGTGGCATTGCTAACCCGGAATGAACCCTCCAATTCCATGGAAAGAAGGTCACTGTCAAACGGAAACATCTCCAGAGAGTATTCGTCGACTGTTTTGAAAGTGCCGTACACTCCCAACTCCTGTAGCTTACGTTCGCACAGCAATGTTTTCCGAGGAACAAAGAACATGTGGAACTCCTTCTTGGGACCAGGAGCTGTCTCCTCCCTGCAAACACGCGTGAGATGATGCACAGCTACATGACATCGGCAAGCACCATGGTCAAAATACATGAATACTAATACAGGTTAGACCGTTAGACAATGGTAATCTGGCACCCTTGGGATTAGAGAGGTGGCTCAACAATGAAAATTCCAACCCACTACAGGTAAAATCTTCGGTAGCATGAGTAAAGATAATTTACATGTGTGTACTATTACTTCGTGGTCCAAGCCTTTGTGAAATGTAGGGTTCGGTTCACGTAAGTTATGTAGTGACAGTGGAATTTCCTACTGCTGTATATTTTAAGCAGCACATAAAATTTGTTACAGGGAAACAAACTCGGAGTTTTTAGACACTGAAATTGTAGAACGGATTTTCACAGTTTTTATCAGAGATACCCACCCAATTCAATGCACATGGCTTCTCTGGTTATCTCGCTGGAGTACAGCTAACGTACACAGCTACAATATTACAAACAGCTTTCCGGGACAAAATCTGTTACGGAAATGAAAGTAATACGTACAGTTACTAAGAACCTATGCTCTACAATTAGAGCAAAGGAACGGAAAAAAAACCCAAATGATTATTTTGTGCAAGGTGGTAAATGATAATTGTGCTTTTATTAAGACGATACTTACTTGCGAACATTATCCGCAACTATCTCCATCAGTGCAAGCTTTGGCTGCACGATGAAGATGATGTTTTGGACATTGGTTTGCTGCAGTTTTCCGAATGTGAGAGGGAACATTCTTGTGACATCGTGATCCTTATATGAAAGCAAACCAAACAGAAAACTTAATTGTGCTCCATTGGTATCCATGCCATCTGATTAGTTTATTAGTTTATTACTGACGGTCAGAAGCTTGCAAGCTCATATTGATATATATTTTTGCCAATGTACCATCAATAAATAAATAAATAAATAAGAATAACATTATAATATGACATGAGGTATAGTAGCTGAGTTTTTTCAAAATGGTTCTTAATAGGTTAACAATAAATTTAATCAGTGAGAACTCGCTGTAGTTTAGTAACAGCGCACATTTTACCATACCCCCCGCCCCCCAAAAAAACGTGATGCCTTGTCGTCTTTTAGAGTACTTTACTATCAGTTGCTCTCACAGTTTCACGAGTGTAAATTATTATCCCTCTGCCTGTTGTGGGTGTCATGTTTAGTGAGCATTAATTCATAGCCATTTAGTGTGAAATCTTCCAGCGTGATATTTCTATAGACATTTGGCTTGACATCAGTAACTGCTACGATGTCAGGTTTAATGTCAGCCTTTTGCTCAAATTCGTCCCTGTTATAAGACTGCTGTCGCTACAATGTTACTGTCATTGTACTTACTTTGAGCAAAGCATACTCTGCAATCAATCCAAATGGGCCAGTAAGGCTATCATCCCATATTACTGCCTGGTAGGAATACAAAAATACATGTACATGCAGCTTTTAGAAATACATAGCACAGACACTTGGAATATTTCAATAATTGTTGTTGTTGTTGTTGTTTATTGTGTGCCCACTGGGTGGGTATGAAGAGATTCACAGTTTTTACTGGCGGGTGCCGCCGCGTGCAAGGCTCTCTTCTTGACACCATTTCCACACTCTGTCTCTTTTTTGCTGAGTGCTAAGCACAGAAGCAGTGTGTACCATTTTTCAAGTCTTTGGTATGACCCGGCCGGGAGTCGAACCCCTGACCTTCCACAGACGAGGCGAGCACTCTACCATTGAATAGTATATGGAGTATTCTTGTTCTCCTGGTATTTCTCTATATTCTTGTTGTTTCTGCACAGCGGCGTGCATGTAGTGTACTTGTGTGTTGTAGAGGAGCATTTAAATGACATTTACAAAAAATTATCAGTAATAATATGTGAAAGAGAGTAGATAAATATGATTAAGACATTGTCATTGGTATTAAATACATTAAAGGCTCATAATGCGCATCCAAACGCTAATTTCTCCAGTACTAGACTAGCAAATACTTCGTGTCATGCATAATCACACTACCTTATGACAAAATAAACTCTAGTTGCTCCCATTTCACTGCGCGTTTGCTTAAAACCCATAAGAAAGAGGTGAGAAAACTGGCATTCTGGCGCAAACGCCGACTGTTTGCCAAACAAAATAGCCTCGAAGTGGTGACGTGACGTCACATGTTTTTATCTTTGCTGCGCCCGTACCGCTGTACCGCAGCACCGCTGCATCATGCATGGTTGCTTGGGGATTGGGGAAACTGTCAACAACATCGGAGAATTTCAACAACATTGGAGGTATTTTCAAAATACCTTTTATAAGACAACGCGCAGTGAAATGGGAGGAACTAGAGCCATGATAAGGTAGTATGATTATGCATGACACGAAGTATTTGCTAGTCTAGTACTGGAGAAATTAGCGTTTGGATGCGCATTGTGAGCCTTTAAGATTAAAGTCATTATGATTTGGTGTTTATTTACCAGCATTTTATTATTGAAATGTTCCAAGTGCCTGTGGTGGATAGCGTCTTTTGCGCGTAGCCACGTAGCAGCAGGGGTGTTGACACATTTTTAACTGTGCTTGTTGTACCCAAACTTGGAATCTGCACAATCTCGAGATTGTGCAGCGATTGGGCTGCCCAAACTGCGGATTCCCTAGTTTGGCTGACCAATCTCAAGATTGGTTGCCCAAACTGCGGATGCGCTGAAATTCCAAGTTTGTGCAAGATTCCAAGTTTGGGCACAACATGCTCAGTCCGAGTTTTACTTTTACTAGTACTAGTAGTAGTAGTAGTATTACGAAAATGAAGCCTAATCGAAATTACTTTTCAAAGAAGCCAATAGGTACAGAGTTATATGTTACCTTCGTGCCTATGCATTTGTCAAGACATTCTAGCAGTTCTCTTCGAGCAGATTCTCTTAAAATCGACAAATTTACCCTGCTAGAGCTCAAGTGGGCTGACATGTTTGGCTACCCAAATATAGCGGCGAGTTTCTCAAACGCAAGCGTTTAACGGTATCGTCCATTAGTTAGTCATTCTGCGAATATTTACGTTATAGTAGGATAGTAAAGTTAATATAACAAATAAATAATAAAAACAATATGTATATATATAAATATTTAGTCGCTTGAACAAATTTTTTACACGTTTTCAAGAAAACCACAAAATTTGTGACGTCATATTCGCGTAGTGAAAGTTTCGTTCTCATTTTGTTTTCTAAAGTATTTCTATCTCATACTCATAGCGCACGGTAATGTTGCTTAAATACATTATTGTATGTAGTGTGTGTCATTATTTATTCCTAGATTAATGTCAATTGCGTTTTAATCATGTAATAATCAATAATTGTATTATTTATAGTGTTCGCGTTGAATGAAGTGACAGTGTCATGGCGACTGTCTGAACGAGCTTTTGAAATCCATTTTAGTAGTACTAGTAGAAGTTGAACAGTTATCTGGTCTGTGATTTATATAGTACATCATACTAGTGATTTCCGGCACTTTGACTAGTTTTAAGTTGATCTATTCTAACAGTAACAGTAACATAAATATAATCGCATAGATGTGTAACTGTAACTTCTGGATCTGTATCTGTATAGTTTACTGCGTAGCCCACGGTTACGTGGATTATAACGCAGGGACATTCCGTAATAAATTAACGTCCAGGGCTATAGCTAGCCATGAGGTGTGACCTAGCTTAAACTAGTAGTACTAGTACTAAGTAGTAAGTTGTAGTTGTAAAGACTAAAGAGTAAAGTGAATAATTGCTGAATGTGCATTGATTCATTGGCATTGCTTGCTTTCCAAAAAATCTCTAGTTGGCTTTAACCTCATGACCTTATAAACATAACCTTTCAATGTCCAAGGGACAATATCAGAGACAGAGCGAGGCAAAGCTGATTACGTGATCAACACTGCAGATTGCAGTAGAAAAAGCCTAAATTTTGCAAGTAATTAAACCCAATTCCCAAACTCTATTTCGAATGTCGCCATAGCTGATGTAACACAGAATAGCCAAAAAGAATAGATAAACGTCTGCCTTGCTTGCAGTAAGTAGTCCCTGGCAATTGCTGCTTATTTACCTATTTTATAGTCACATGCCATTATCTGAGACTAAGTAAGTAACAATAAGTTGTAGAATTGTCACTATCAGGGTTAGACACTAACCATTTAAGTTCATTAGTCCACAGGACTAGTAAAAGAAAAAATGTACTAGTCCTTCCAAGATTCTACTAGTCCTGCCGAAGGACTCTTACTAGGCGCAGAGCGACGAGAATTGTGATTTGCCAGGAGGTAGGTGGGGTAGGAGGGTGGAGCCCCCCTTCTGCTAGGGGGTACAGGGGGTCTCTCCCAGGGTACAAGGAGTGTCCCCCAGAAAGGTTTTGTAAAAGACATTCAATTGTATAAAATACATGTAACTTTGATATGGATCATAGGATTAAAATTAAAATTTAAAAAAATTTTAATTGGAAAATAAAATTTCGGCCTCCTTTGATGAGGAATCTGTGGATCCGTCACTCATCACAGCAAGGAATTTGGCCTCATTTATAGCTACAAACTGTTCCCGGTGCCTTGTATCGGCTATCGCCGTAATGAACCTCTGGCAGGCCTTGTCAGTGAGGTAAGTGCTGCCGACATCTAACCCCTTGGCCTTGTCAAGCTGGCACAGCTTGACGTAATCAGTGTAGGACCTGCTATTTCCAATAGCATGTGCATTTCTAATGGGGTTCGCCATTTACTAATCGCTGGATAGATGGCGCGCGTGCACTGTTCGGTATGGGTGTTGCTATCCCCCGGGCGTGGAGGGACAGTCACGTGATACAGTTGACGTATATTTCAAAGTTCAAATCTTCCACAGAAAGATTCCACAGTAATACCTCCGTACTAGACATGGCCTTATATCCCTAACCCTAACCCTAACCCTAACCCTAACCCTAACCCTAACCCTAACCCTAACCCTAACCGTAACCCTAACCCTGATCCTAACCCTAATCCTAACACTAGTGCTGCCACATTGCGGTACTGTCCCTCCACGCCCGGGGGATAGCATTTTCCTCCGGTATCACTGCTAAACAATGGCGTCTAGTTACGAAGGAAAAACCGTAAATGAATTGAAATCAGAGTTGCAAAGTAGAGGTGCAAAGACATCTGGGAGGAAAGCTGATCTGCACGTACACGTATGCTTGCGTGCGTGCGTGCGTGCGTGTGCACGTACACGTGCGTGCGTGCGTGCGTTTGCGCACGTACACGCGTGTGCACGTACACGTGCGTGTGCACTTTCATCACCTCTTCGCCACACACCATTTCAATCTCAGTTCTGGGTCACTTGGGCCCCCACTGTTTCGCGAACAGGCATGGTCCTTGCATTTCTTTTTGCTAGGATCTTTCTGTGCCCCTTGGAAGCATCATGCGCATTAACAGTTTCC